GCCCCCGAGCCAGCGACGCGGCCGTCCGGCGGGGCGCCCGGGGGCGCGTGTGCGCGCGCGCGTTGGTGTTTGTTCCCCTAATGAAAGGCCAGGGGTAGCCGCGGCGACGGCCTAGGGCGGCGGAGGGGGAAGCGGCCCCCAGTGGGACAAAACAAAACTTCGGTTGCTGGGAAGAGCCGTTGCGCAACCCGGACAGGGGGAGGCCCGGGCTGCCCGGCCCGAGCGCGGTTTCCCGGACGCTGCGCCACCGTGCGCAGAAACCACGCGCGGCCCCCACGCCCGGCCGCCTCCGGCCCGGGGCAGCCCCGGCCTCGAGGGAGCCGCCTGGACACGCCAGCCGGCCGGGCCCGGACGGAGAGGCGGAGCGCCGGGGCGCAGGGGAGGCGGGAGGGGGTGCAGGACACGCGCGGGTGCGGGCCGCTCCGGGGCGGTCGACCTAGTGGCGCGGGGCCGGTAGGGGGGCCCGAGGGCCCGCACCCAGCCACAGGCCCCGAGGATGGAGCGGGTCCCCCACCCGGGGCCGGGGGCGCCCCTCGCCCTACTCCCTTACCTTCCTAGAGGCCTGCGCTCTCCCCTCTTCGGGCGGCCGCAGCCCTGAGCATGTCCGGAGTGGGGTGCGGGGCCGGGCAGGGGACAGGGAGCCAGGCGCTTCAGCAGGCGGCACCACCCAGCCCGGGCTCAGCCCCTCTCCGCGGCCGCTGCCATCTTGTCCTGGCGGCTGAGAGGAAACGGCGAAACACCCTCCCCCGACCGCTGCTGCTGCTGCTGCTCTGGCTGCTGAGCTCCGGGCCCGTCTCCCTCATCTTCCTTCCCGGGGATTTGTGGTGGGGACGGCTCGGCTGGGGCGAGGGCTGGGGAGAGGCCGGCCGGCCGGCCTCCGATGGCTGGGCCTAAGGGCGGCGCAGGGTGCGGGGCCCGCGGCGGTCGGGGCCCATTCCGGACGCTCCTGCCGAGAGAAGAGCCCGGGAAGACGGCCGGGCGAGGCGGCGACGGCGCGGCCCGCCGTTCGGTCTCCTCAGGTCGCCGCGTTGCCGGCAGTCGTCACCCAGGCAGCTGCCCCGGACTCGGGCCCCTCCTCTGCGCCCGCCGGCCACGGCCGCCGCCTCCGCAGCGCCACCGCCCGCCCGGCCGCGCAGCGCGCCGAGCCCCGGCAGCCGGGCTCAGCCTGGGCCGCGGAGCCTCGGCGAAGCCCCTCCCCGGGGCCCGCCCGCCAGCCGGCAGCCGCGCCCTTGTGGCTCCCCGCCCGCCCGGCGGCCGGCGCGGGTCCGACCCCGAGTCCTTCACGGCATCCCGCCCGCGAAGGCGCGGCCGCAGCGCCCCGGCTGCCGGTCCGACCCCCACCGAAGGCCCACTCCGCTACAAGCAGCTGTTTGTGGAGGATCCGAGCCTCAGAGAATTCAAGCGCGGAAGCCTGAATTCACAGGCCTTGTGGGATCCCGACATCCTCATCAAGTCCCTTTCCACCCCTTCGGAATGGCTCTTGGCGGGTAATTTTAAGGCTTCAAAAACGAGGAAAGGGGAAATGCTTCATCAAGTAAGCAATCCCAGCCTAAAATAGGTCCCCATTCCAAAGCCTCAGAGAATTGTAAAATCAGGCCATTAAGAACGAGGAAAGGGCCCTCCTGGAAATTTTCCGAGCACTTGTCTTCGATCCAAATCCCCGCAGTTGTCCAGTTCACCCACCTACGCGTTGATCATTCTCCATCAAGTCAGTTCCACTCCCAGAGACTAATGAACTCCCTCCTAGAGACTAGGAAATCAACAGAATGGCCCACCTCAAACACGTAGTCATAGAATCATAGAATTTTGGGGTTGAAAGAACAGTAGTTATCCTTCATTCAAACTCTTAAATTAGGACAGGGGTTCAAAGACGTTAGGTGGCCTGAACAAGGTTGTACAGCAAAGTGCTGGTCTGCGCTCCCGCTCTCCCTTTCTTAGGAAACAACTGACCTTAAGTGCCGATCATTCAAAGTTAACTTTTTAAGATACTCGTTTCCTCAGTTCCCTTCTCTCTGATTTAATATTTAACCTTTTGGGAACCGAACACCTTCCTCGAGGGATCTGGAAGTGCCCTTTGTTTGTCCCCTTGGAACCTTCACATAGGAAAGCTGAATTTGTCCCTGAAGTTTTCCGTGGCAGTGACTGGGGCAGGGCAAAGGGAGTGGCAGATTGCTACATATTTAACACTACACATTTGCTTCCTGCTGCTTTCTGAGCTGGGAGGAGAGCATCTTGGAGAATGGTTTTTAAATGAAAAAGGGATAGTATGCTTCGAGGCGGCTGAAAATAACCTTTTTCCAGTGACAGTTGTTTCCTTCAACTTAGGGAGGATAGCCATTTGAAAACACTTCCAAAATAGAAAAAACAGAACAATGACTGTCCCTCAGATAGCATATTAGCCATTCCTTTTTACTTAGTATTTCCTTACGTTTGATTTTTTTAAAGCAATAGTTAAAACCAAAAAAGGACAAAAACATTACTCAAACGAGAAAGTTACAGTAATAGAAAAATTCATCTATGAAAGAGAAACTATTCCACCAAAACTTTTGAGCATTTTTGTTTGTCTAGATCACCGCTAAGGGAAGGCTTCCATGATCCCTGTTTGTGGTATTGCCCCATCTATGAAGAAGCTCAAGAACTTTTCTGTCTCTGATGCTGGTACTCAACATAGGAATTCCCAGAAGGGGATTCTGTACACCCTTTCCCTCTCCCGCCATGCACTGCCACTGCATAATACAGTGACAGATTTATACTAAGTCTTTAGTATTTGTTACTAAGTCAGTAAGTTAAATACATAAACATTATTAAGTTCTCCTCTTCTTTATACCTGTTGTCTCCTAACTTCATCTCTTTACCTCCGATCCCTTCACCCGAGCCATTATGAACACCAACATACGGAAAACTTTTCAAAGCCCCTGATTTTAACATTTTTTGAAATTTGTAAGAAAACATGGAAATTTTCTGAGTGTTAAGTTCTTTTTAAAATGCAGTTACTGTATAAGAAAAGTTAATTTTGCATAAATAAAGATAGCCAAAGAACTGAATTTTTTCATTCGAAAATACTGCTTTAAGTTCTATGTTTCAGGTGCTGTTGCCTATACTCTGCGAATATGAAATGGTGAAAGGGAGATGTCTGTGAGCTTGTACTCTCTCTAGAAAGTTGATTACACAAATCATTACAAAATTAATTAGCATTATTTTAAAAAGGGAAGTACAGGGTACAATGAAGCACTAGAAGAGGTTCTAATCAAATGGGAGGGTGGGGAAGCCATAGAAAGCCTGATTCATTTCTCATCCTCCAACACTTAACATTCACTTTCTCCAGGAAAAATCTTTTGACTTCTCTGACTAAAGCCAAATTTCCATATATCTTTCCTTGGTAGCATTTTCCAGTTGCCATTCCACGTTTCTGGTTGTTTGAGTAACTTCTCTGCCACTTATCTGAAAAGTAGAGAGCACTTATCTTTTGTACACTGTTGTATTCCCAGCACCAAGGGGTGCATAGTAAATGAGCCACAGGAATAGCTGCTCACAGCACCCAGGGCAAAAGAAAAGGATTTCAAGATGGTGATAACACAGCACTAAACCAATCACAGGGGTCTTCAAAGTACAGGACAAAGTGAAAGGTGGAATGAAAATTGAGATTTGAAAGATGTGTAGACAATTAGCCCAAATAAAAAATACTTGTGGCAAAAGAAAAGATATATGCAGAAGTCCAGTAAATAAAAGGTGATAGAAAGTAGAAATTTTGAAAGACACCACACCGACATCCCACCCCCACCCTAGGCAGAGAGGTTAAACCTTCAGAGATCAGCAGTTTTAACTGTTTTGTTGGCTGCTCTGTCTCCAGAACTTAAATCACTGCCTGGCATATAAAAGTCACATTATAATATTTTAAAATGGGGCCTCCCCGGTGGCGCAGCTGTTGAGCGCTGGGTTGCGAAGCTGCCAGCAGCCTCTGCAGCGCCAGTTCGATCCCCGGCTGCTCCCCAGCCACCAGAGGAGGGTCCCACATGGTGCGCAGACCTCTCCTGCCGCCCGCTGCTCCCCTCAGCAGTGTACTTCGGTCCTTCTGCCTGCTCTGCTCCCCGCTCTGGCTCTGGTGAATTCTCTCACCCTCCCGTGCTTCTGACTGTACCCAGTGCATGTATAAACAAAACAAACAAATGAATAAATAAATAAATAAAGCATGCCTCTATTAAAAAAAATAATAATAATATTTTAAAATGAAAGAATAAATTTTCTATGTAAAGAACGTGAAACCGCCCATAAACTCAGATAGCAAACAGTCACAATCGTTTGAAATCATCCAGATGTGAAAGCCAAGGCACCTTCTCCCCTACCCTCGACTCCCCTTCTCTCTCTGTCCTTCCCAAACCCACAACCAAAAGTTAATATCCAGAGGAGGCCAGATCCCCTCGAACTTACCTCGTGTTCACCACTGAACCTTGTTCCTCATGGTTCTCCACGGAGCAATAGCCCTCCACAGTCTTAGTCAACAATGCTGATGCTTTGTCACAGAACCTGAGTCATCAACCCACATTCCCCTTCCTCAAGGAAGTATGGGTTTTCATTGTTTTCCTCCAAACCCTAGGTTTCCCTTTCTTGGGGAGATGGGAGGAAGAAGAGAGGAGGAAGACCTAGTCAACCAAAAACAGCTCCCTAACTAACAACAAACCTCAGGAAGGAGAGGTTCAGCCAGGGCCTTTCTTTGGTTTCCACTCTCTGTGGAGGTCCAGGCCTCCTAATGCAAATAATCTACCTACTCCCTAGAAATCTACTTTGTATACCTGGGCCTTAGGGAGGGGCAGCTGGAATGGAAAAAACATTCTGGAGTGTCTCACTCCTACCTACATTTGCATAACTGAAAGTCCCACTCAGGTAACTCTTTACAGTCCAAAGATTTGTTTCTCTTCCCTAAAAAAAAAAAAAAAAAAACCACATACACACAATATTTCCATTAAATTAATGCAAATAAAAAAAATTTAATTTTCATTTGAATGTTCACAAATCTAATCTTAATCTGGGACTTTGGTACTACAGTCAACATAAGGTAAAAATCTCATACAGTAAAATTCATCCTTGAAAATTACCCAAATTGCCTATGTATGTGTAGTGTTTGGTCTCTATAACCTTGTATAATAAAATGTACATTTTAATGATCTGCAACATGGGGGTCATCACAAAGTAAATTTTTCACATGATTCACCTCTTATAGCACTTCAGAAAATTTATGAAGATTAAAACTTTTTGGCTTTTCCATTTCATCATCTTCTTAAGACAGGTCCAGGAATCACTTTCTTTGTTACAGTTTCTGAAGCTCTCAGTTAAATATTTACTTTATTCCTCCAGGATGGTGAAGAAGCTAGCACACCAGCTCCTCCTTGGCACATTATTTCCACTGGTTTTCCAAAATGCAAGTCTCTTTAAAATCTCTTTTAAATCTCTTTTAAATCCATGGCCCACAGTCTCATGGAGTAGATAGGCCTGCCAGCACCCACACTATTTACCTTGTTGTCTTGTAATAGGGTGGTCCCCAGGAAAAGGGGAGGTTCCAGATTCACTGCCCCACACCTCCAAAAGAGGGTGGAGCTGAGCAGGGAGGAGAAGAAGCTGGAGAGGAAACTGGAGAAGGAAGGAAGCAGGATGGAGAGCAAGAAGGAGACCTGGAGAAGGCACATGGAGCAGAGAGACATGTGAAGAAACTGAGCTTGCTTCTTGGTCCTGGACCGGTTGAAACAGATGGGTGAGAGACCTGTGGGGAGGTTAACAATGGCAGCTTTTAGCTTCATTTTGATTTTCCTCTTTTCCTCCCAGACTTGTCTGGCTGTTTCTGATCCTTTTTTATCGGTCCCCACCAGAAGGTGCTTTAGACTTGTGGCAGGCTTTTGGGCCTAGCCCTGGGCCAATCCTGTTTGGGTGGACTTATGCCCACAAGGAGATGGGTAACTTTGGGTGCTTGATTTAGAAACTATATTCTTTGGGGCCTCCCTGGTGGCTCAAGACTTAAAGACACAGTGCTATCAAGCTATCGCCAGCCACTGCAGCATGAGTTCTCCCAATCTGCCAGGGAGCTAATCCACAGGAGACTTCTCCTGTCTCCCCGCTGCTCCCCTCAGCTGTGTATTTCAGTCAGTCTGCCTGTTCTGCCCCCCAATCTGTCTCTGGTGAATACTCTCAGGGCCCCCCCCCACCGCACCTCTGGCTTACACCCCAGTTCTTGTATGCATAAATAAATAAATCTTTAAAAAAGAAAAAAAGAAACTATACTCTTTGTCTTTTCTATATTGGTTTTTGTTTGCTTTTTGTGGGACCCTCCCCTGCGGCCAGGGAATGAACCCGCGCTGCAGAGGCTGCCTGCAGGCAGCCTCGCAGCCCAGCACTCAACCCCTGCACCACCAGGGGAGGCCCTGTCTTTTCTATATTGTTTACTAATTGTATTAAAGTCCCTTTCCATTAAAGGTCTTATATGTTTTGTCTTGATATGGCGGATGGCAGAACCTATTCAGAGCAGGCAGGTTTGAGGGTTCAGGGGTGCCCCTCTCCCTGCCCTGTAACAGTCTCTCTCCAGAGCTTGTTGAGTTTAATTCTCAGAAGTACAGATTATGCAATACAACAGGCTAACATACTTTTTACAATTCAAAAAAATGTTTAAACTAAGGATATGCAAAACAGATAAATAAAATAGGGTATCTATCTTGTTTTGATCTTGATTTCCCTGCTTACAAACCTTCAGGCTATTTCAACTACTAAAAATACTCATATTTCTTAATTTGTCTGTTGAAGCACATTGTAGTTGGGCACCATAAAACATTCTTTAGCCATTTATCTTGCGTGCCCTATGATCCCACCAAAGTGTCCTTTTCTCTTTCCCTGATGATAATTTTTCTCCACACTCATGTTATTTCTGTCATCATCATTGTACTCCCATCCTTGATATCCCACCCATCCTTTAAAGTGAAAGCTAAATGTTTACATTTCCAAAGAGCTTTGAATGAACATACCATCCCTATGTGATATCCATGCATCCACAGATGTTTCTATAAGGGCCTACCTTATACTAGGTGCTGTTTGAACACTTTTCAGTAATCCAAAGATAACTATTACTATCATCATTTTAAAGATTAGGGAATTCAAGCACAAAAAGATTAAGAAACTTGTCCAAAATTACACAGTAAATGAGGGAGTCACCTGGCCTTAAACGTTTGCCCCAAAATGATAGTTTTCACCAAATGCATACTTGAACATGTTTTTTATAAAACATAAAGTCATAAAGATTATAATTTCCCTTGGGAAGAGTTCAAATTGAATCTGTGTTCTTGACAGTCTCGTTATCAAATCATGAATATTACAAACATAAAAGAAACTCTAGGAGGAAAGTAGAATTTTAAAATCCTGTGAGATGATGCATGGAGAACAGTCCTTTAAACTCATCAAGTTCCATCTTGTCCTTTACAGATGAGGGAACTGAGATTTAGGTATCTGAGGACAGATTGTATCTTTATCCAAGACTACATAGGTCTAGACCTCTTGCCCAGTCATCCCATCTCAATCATATAAATTACCATGTATATTCCCAAAAAAAGGAGCTCACTGATTTATTCTAACTAATTAGTTTAACTGATTTAATCCTTCTTTCTTCTACTGAACGATGGAAACAACATACCTGAACTATGGAAACAACCCAGTCCCTCCATATTCAATGTTAACTGTGCTTCCAAGTATTCAATTCCCTATTCCTCCTTTTTGAGCTCATCTGCCATTGAAAGTATGGAGAAACTGTTCCTACCTAATAAAAGTGGGGTGCTTGCTCATATATAACCATGTAACAACTACAAGAAAAACTTTTCTTATTTACAGGCACCTCGGGATTAGTGAAATTTCAGACATTTAAGAAGAAAGTCCTGTATGGAAATTTCAAATCACATCATAAACTACTCTGCATGTAGGTCAACCTAGCTCTTCTAGGGAACAGAACATGGGGAAATGCTCAAGAGAAACCAGTGTGAGTAAGGCAGGGGAACAAGCTGAGAAGAGCTGTACCTTTAAGACTTTCAGAGCAGACCACAGAGTAGATCTAGATTAAGTTTGAATTGGTACTCTTTTCTTCCTTTGTGCTTTTTTCCTGCCTAGTTGTTTTGTCCCTTAATCATATTTCCCCTATATGGTAGGTCTTCTCCTTCCTCTGTTCAAAGATACTCCCTCCAAACTGCTTCAGATTATGCTCTAGTTCCCACCTAGCATACAAAGACCTGTAACTTTAGAATTTCTTCTTCTTCACTGGATCAATATACCCATTCCCCAAGTAAATACAAGTTTGACCTTAGGGAAAGTATGCTATTTAAAACATACTTTAAAATTTTATGAGTCAAAATAGCCAAAGCAGTCAGTAACCCAAATAATTCTTTGTTGGAATGAGAAAAGGCACTTTTCATGCTGCTTTGTTTCTGTCAGAAAATTGTACTGATATATCAAATTTGTTAAGGAAACACATTTTTCTTCCATATGTCTGAAAAGCATCCCAATAAACATGTAAATCTGAGTTGTCTGCAAGCTGAGTTGTGCCTATCCCCACTCAGCAGCCATGTTGACACGTTACAGGACAGGAAGAGGGGCACCTCAGAACCCCCAAATGGAGCCTCCTCTTTTCTAGGGACCATCCTGTTACAGATACAGCCTTTCTTTCTTGTTCTCTCTCTCTCTCTCTCTCTCTCTCTCTCTCTCTCTCACACACACACACACACACACACACACACACACACACACACACACACACACACACCCCAGAAGTGGAAAAGTGGAATCAAGAGATTCTTCAGTTAACTGTGTGACTTTGGACACACTTCATAGCTTCCTAAGTCTTTTTCCTCAGCTTTGAATTTGATGTAACAACAGCTGCCCTGCAAAGAAATTGAGAATTAAATGAGATGGCTTATGCAAAATCACTATACGGTAGTCTCAAAGTAAAGGTTAGCTGAATGTGACTTTTCCAGAATATCTAATTAGTAAGACTAATTGGAGAAGATATTCATGGTCACATTGCTCCACATCCTCTTTGAGATCAACCACACAAGTGGGAGAGAAAAGGGGAAGGTTTGAGCAACAAAAGGAAATGATTGTCTTTCCTCAAAATTTCCCTTCTCTGCTTCTACTCTCCCTCCTCTTCTCCTTCTCTACTGAACGGAGGAATCAGCTGCTTTTTTGTCACCTCCACTACCTTTAGGTTATGTCTGGATCATGGCTTTTTAGTTTTTGTTCTACTATACCTGGGAGGTGATTTTCCCTGTGAGAACTGTCTTGTCCTAAATGCAAAATCCCAAAGTCTACCAGAAAATTTAGAATCCCAACTATTTGGATCACTCTCAGTGAATAACCAAATATTTCTGCTCAGACAAAGCCCTAACCCACGTGACCATCCCCAAATACCTGCTTTGCTGTCAATAAATGTAAGTATAGTTATTTATATCACCTGCTTACTACCCATATATCTAAATTACTATGTAGCATAATGATTATGTATATCATTAAATATGTATGAGATGAATGCTGTGGTGCATCTTATTTGTATTTTATTTATTTGTTTAAAGATTTATTTATTTATGCATACAAGAACTGGGGTGTAGGCCAGAGGTGTGGGTGGTGAGAGGATTCAGAGACAGAGTGGGGAATAGAACAGGCAGATCTACTGAAATACATTGCTGAGGGGAGCAACTGGCAAGACAAGAGAGGTCTGCTGTGCCATGTGGGTTAGCTCCCCGGCCAGGGATCAAACTCTTGCTGCAGTGGCTGCAGACAGCTTCATAGTGCTGCCACTTAACCCTCTGCCCCACCAGGGAGGCCCCTTATTTGTATTTAAAAACACTGAATCCTCTTCAAGTATTTTCAGTTGTTGCAGTTTGATTTTTATATAACAGACACCTGCTCATATCTTTGAAATACTGGAAGAAACATTAGTTCTAAAATTGTTAATGGGATTACAGTTGTAATTGGTAATACATTTTCATTTTTAGTAGGAAAAACATATGCAGAAAGAAAAAATGCTAAAGAATAAAAAGGAGACAGGATCATTAAAGTACCTATAAGATTATGGAAGAAGCAATCAAATGTGAAAGCAAAAAATAAAAATGGAAAAATTCCCTATATAGAGTATAATTAGTTCACACTGCAGTAAAATTAAAAGAAATATGCCACAAAACCTAAACAAGCTTTCTTTAATCAGCATACAGACTTCAAGTATAAAGGTCATTTTTTGTATGCAATCAGACTACAGAATTTCATTTAAAATGAGGAAGTCAATTCAGTTCATTCATTCTTTGCATGACAAGAAGTAGAATATTTCAAGACTGTAAAAGAAAATCTAATTTATAGCTTATCATATATAGCTTATCTTGTTTAAAATATAAATTATATAGTGAGATAAATTATAGTATATTAATGTAGTTCTTATATAATTGACATAACAGGAAAACAATATTTCACACATAAGTCATCTGAATTCAGAATAAACAATGCGTTACTTGGGCCTCCCTGGTGGCGCAGCGGTTGAGCGCTGGGTTGCGAAGCTGCCCACAGCTTCTGCAATGCCAGTTCCATCCCCAGCCGCCGGGGGAGGGTCCCACATGGCGCACAGACCTCTCCTGCCGCCCACTGCTCCCCTCAGCAGTGTGCTTGTCAGTCTGCCTTCTCTGCTCTGCTCCAGTCTGCTCCACTCTGCCTCTGGTGAATTCTCTCACCCTCCTGCACTTCTGACTGTACCCAGTGCTTGTATAAATAAATAAAATAAAATAAAATGCGTTGCTTGACAATTATAATTGTCTAAGCCCTGAGGCTAAAGATATACTTATTCAAATATCTGAAAAGCCAAAATATATTTGTTTCATAAAATCCAAAAAGGACAAATATACTCATGACTGCATTATGTTTGTCAATTTATTTTTTGCTCCGGAAACATTTAAAATAAAAAAAGTAAACCCCACAATTTTATCCTCATTATAATTATGTATTTCTAGTATTAGAGAGATAAACTGTGAGCTACTCTAGTATTATTGGAAGAAACTTAAAAACTGTAGTACAGAAGAATATTAACTTGCATATCTGTAGTATCATCTTCAACCGGAATCCAATAATTTTCCTTGTGCTAGGAGGTTTTATTAATTGGGGTTACAAATCTTCACAGTCAGAGCTAGTGCTAATTGTAGCATCAGATCAACTTTCACCTATACTTGTTGCTGTCCCTTCACATCTCTGTGCCTTGGTTTCCTCATCTATAAAGCAGAGACAATATTAGGATGATAATACCTAATACAATTATTCTGAGGATCAAATTAATTAATGTCTGTAAAGTTCTTGGACCAGTTCTTGACACAAAAAAATGAATCAGTAAATGCTGGGTGCCATCATTATCATCATCACCATCATCACTACCATCATCATCATCATCATAACCATCAATGTCATTGTCTCTGTTCTTGTCACCCATAGTCCATTCCACCACACACAAACCAAAGTGATTGCTTGTCTCCATTATAGATGATTGGATCAAGATAATGTGATATATAAATACCATGGAGTATTACATCACCATATGAAAGGATGAAATGCAGTCATTTTCAACAAAATGAAAATTTGAGATATATGTGTAGCAAAGTAAGTCAGTATAATAAAAACAAACACTGGACATTTACACAGCAGAATATTCAATAATGTAAAACACTTTCAAAAACCAGTGGAATATCCATCCATGAACATCTGAGGGTGCTGAGGTTAAGAGGGAGGAGGGTGGGAAAGGGACAGAGATGACAGGGGATGGTGGTGGGGAAAAAAGAAAGTGTATAACTTTAGAAATGTACTTAGAAAAGATGAAAGGTTGAAAACACAGTGAACAAACAATAAAAAAAAGTTACAAGTCTTTATCATATAAAGACTATATAGCCAAAAACCTTTAGTAAAAAAGGGTATTAGAAAAGTATATTAGACAAAACATAATAATGCAACTTATATATTCCTACCTTCAAAAAATATTAATCAGGGGCCTCCCGGGTGGCGCAAAGGGTTAAGACGCAACCTATGAAGCTGTCTGCAGCCACTGCAGCACGAGTTCGATCCCTGGCCAGGGAGCTACCCACATGGCGCAGCAGACCACTCCTGACTCGCCCACTGCTCCCCTCAGCAGCGTATTTCAGTCATTCTGCCTGCTCTGCTCCCCACTCTGTCTCTGGTGAATCCTCTCACCATCCCACACCTCTGGTCTGTATCGCAGTTCTTGTATGCATAAATAAATAAATCTTTAAAAAAATATTAATCAATGTTTTTTAAAAATATGTCCACAAATTCTTTGACATTCCTCCTTTCAAGAAGCAGACCCTAGTTCCCCTCCCTTTGAATGTAGACTAGACTTAGTGACTTGCTTTTAGCAAATAGAATGAAGAGGAAATGATGGTGTACAACTTTAGACACTCTCATAAAAAGATACTGTGACTTTTACCTTCTCCTTTCCCTGCCACCCCCCTGAACACTTTCCAGCTGCTGTGTGTGAGAGCAGCTTTATGTAGGAACCAAGAGAACTGAGGCCTCTGCTCAATGTGAAAGAGCTTGGAAGGAGAACCTCTTGTCAGTCACGCTCCAAGACCACTTCAGCTTCTTAAAGACCTTGAGTCACGAGCCTCCCTGGTGGCGCAAGAAGTTAAGCACCACGCTATGAAGCAATCCGCAGACTCTGCAGCACGAGTTCGATCTCCAGCTGGCCAGGGAGCTACCCACATGGTGCGGCAGACCTCTCCTGACTTGCCCACTGCTCCCCTCAGCAGTGTATTTCAGTCAGTCTGCCTGTTCTGTTCCCTGCTCTGTCTCTGGTGAATCCTTTCACCCCCCCCCTTCCCCGCCCCCCAGCACCTCTGGCCTGTACCCAGCTCTTGTATGAATAAGTAAATATTTTTTTTTTTTTTTTAAAAAAGACCTTGCGGTCTTGGCCCTTCCTGAATTCCTGATCCACAGAAATTTTGAGGTAATTAATGCTTGTTGTTGTAAGTCACTAAGTTTTGGGTAATGTGTTTAACAGAATATATAGCAAATAAAATCACTCACTATGTGTCAGACAATGTCCAGGGCATTGGGACACAATGATATGCAGAACAGAAAAAATCCATGCCTTCATGCACAATTACATTCTAGTGGGACTTATAGAATAATAATAATAAACAAATAAAGTGGGGTAGCAATAAATGCTCTGGAAAAAAAAATGAAGCAGAGAGAATATAGACACTGCCTGGGGATTGGAAAGGGGGTGAATGGTTTCTAGATAGGCTAGAAAACATGGCTTTAAGCAGAGACCTTATGATGTGAAGGAAAGAGTGACATCGTTATGTGGAAGTCTAGTAGTTTTTTGTTTTTGTTTTCTTTGCAGGCTGATGAAATTAGAAATATAAAGATGCAAAAGGGCTTCCCCGGTGGTGCAGTGGTTGAGCGCTGGGTTGCGAAGCTGCCCGTGGCCTCTGCTGCGCCGGTTCGATCCCCAGCTGCTACCCAGCCACCGGAGGAGGGTCCCACATGGCGCGCAGACCTCTCCTCTCCTGCTGCCAGTTGCTCCCCTCAGCAGTATACTTCAGTCCTTCTGCCTGCTCTGCTCCCCACTCCGGCTCTGGTGAATTCTCTCACCCTCCCACGCTTCTGACTGTACCCAGTGCATGTATAAAAACAAGCAAACAAACAAATAAATAAATAAAACATGCCTCTGAAAAAAAAAAAAAAGATGCAAAGGCAGAAAAGAACTTGACATATTCTATGACAACCCAGAAGGTCAGTGTGGCCAGGTTGGTGGAATCAGGGAGACAGTGGTGCAAGGAAAGGTCTGTGAGTAGTCAGTGATCATGCAGCTTCCCTGCCTGAAACCAACAAATGCCAA